GTCCAACGTAGCCTCGAAAGATGGAGGCCGAATCTGAGGCTGACGTGGCCTCGGGGGACGGCCTGCAAACTCCTAAAACATCACTGGAAGTGATGCTTAGGAGTCTTGAGGATGAGGCATATTGTTACGTACAAATAATAATAATAATAATAATAATAATAATAATAATAATAATAATAATAAGGATAGCAGGATCTTAAAGGAAGTTAGACACGAAATCGGGTGGAAAAGAAGAAAAATTTGCGCTCAGGTCGGTTGGGTAGGTCGGTTGGTACGGTCGGTTGGTCCGCAGTCGGATAGGCAGGTCGGTTGGTTAGCGGGTTGGATGGTCCATAGGTCGGAAAGTCTGCAGGTCGGATGGTCTACAGGTCGGAAGGTCTGCGGTCGGATAGGCAGGTCGGTTGGTTAGCCGGTCGGATGGTCCATAGGTCGGAAAGTCTGCAGGTCAGATGGTCTACAGGTCGGGAGGTTTGCGGCTGGACCAACAAGTCAGAAGATCTGCGGTCGGACCAACAAGTCGCTTAGTTGGGGCGACCATTGAATCGTCTGGAGAGATCAAATGTTGGTCGCTTGATGGGGCGACCAATAAAGTCGTTTGGTCTAGCAACCAGTTAGTCTCTGGAATGGTCGGTTGGGCCAGTTGAGTTCTGGAATTGGTAGAAGCGTTTGGCGAGACGGTGTAAGACACGTGTCGATAGAGGGAGACCTTGTGGACGGTTGCCGTAACCGCCCAGACGACGTTTCAAAACGTTTCATTGTGGGCGGTTGACGGCGGTTGCTAGCGACGGTTCTGAAACATTTTCTTGAAGGAATATTTAAGGATGCAGATTTGTTATCTTCAATCATCTTCAATCGACATCAAATTCAAAAGAATTGCTTTTGGGGATCACCACTTTACTTTTCCAGTCTGTGGTTTTTTATTTCCTAGTTTACTTATGTACTCTATAGTGTTTAAAGATTTTTAATCTCAGACACTCATCTATCAAGTTCGAGAATAATTTCCTATTTTCGGATTTTACTTTTTGTTTGTTGAAAAAATACATCAACAAATATATTTCTTCTTGTTGAGAGTTTCTTCCTACTTTCAAAAATTCTTGCACGGACAATCACAATACAGAGAACATAATGCATCTTCAGTTATGCACTAACTTCAAAATATCTATTACTATAGTTCACCACATGATATATTATATCATATCTATCTTAAGGGACATTCTCGTCCACCCTAGAATATATGAATAGGTAATCTCATTAGTCACTTTAGAAATATCCGCTAATGTATGCTAACTTTCAAGAACATGGGTGCAATGTAATCTATTAGTAATTGTTTGATCTAATAACAACCAAATTTTGAATAGATACTTAATTGCTCATGTTTACAATAATTATACATGTATACGAATATAAATACTTCTATACAAAAACATGTACCCTCATATTTGGATATGTATACCTTTGGTATTAATAAATATACTCTCTGAACATCACAACATACTCATATTGTCATTGTAATAACTCCGCCGCAAAAATTAAATACCTATATAAATAAATGTGATTTACAAAGGAATTCAAATCATTCAATAGTGGTCTCATACACAGATTTATGTTCAATGTACAATATTCCAAAAATAAAAAGAAATTCTAGCCACGGGATGACAAACCAGAAATACCTACGATGGAGCCTTCTTGCAACTTTGTCGGTTGTGTTCTTGACGGACCACAACGATCATATTTTTTAGACTGTTTCATCTGATATTATTCAAACCACCTTTTTTTAGCCGGATGGTTAGACAAAAGTCAATGACCTTGCTGAGTGCATTCAACTTTTCCACGACTCAGCTACATTGTTATTTATTATCCCCCAACGAGTCCCTTGGAATAAAGAATTCACCTAACATTGGGTATGCGATTGTGCAATGAAGTTTGAGGCAAATGACATAGTCTTCACAACAGACATTATATTCTACTCAAATTCCATAAGGGAGCCTAACCTGCTTTGTTGAAAACGGACGTTTATCATTTTTTGTTATACATCGGATATCTTTACATTACCTATACGAGATGTAATTACCTTGTTGTAAATATTATAATTACTAACATATATTCTATACATACCTGAATGCGAAAGTTGTCCACTAGGTGTCAAAGACAATATGCATGGTGGGCTCCGAGAAATATAGCGGATGGACTTTAAAATTCTCGAGTGTCTATAAAAAAAAAAAATGTATTCTTTCCAATTATATTGACCATCAACATAACAAACATACTTTAACCTCCAGCAAAATTATTTATAAATTTTCATCATTTTCGACATGTACTGTTGGAAAACAACAAAATTTTAATATTATCAAATATATAAGCACATGAAATAAATACCAAGGTTCACAGATCATTAGTTTAGTATATATCAACAAAATCAAGGTATTTTCAAACAAATGCAGCATACAATATCAGACGATATGAGTATATGATTAATAAATATAGGTATACTACACTAGAAAAAAGTTTCCCGTGAAAATAAATACGCCAACTAACCTAAAATCGTAAAAATCCCCACAAAATTTTTTTTATATACATACAATTCTATCAAAATGTATTACTACTAGAAACCTCACCATTTTGTCTATACTTTTTTTAAAAAAAAAAAAATCTCCAAGAATCAAACAAAAATATCGATCGATCACAAAAATTATTTTCAAGAATATAATTACTTATAATATCAAATAATGGTGAAGAGGATCCATCATACCTGAGTTATGGTCGTCATCTTCAACTGAACATAGGTGGAATCGGATTCGGCAAAGAATGACCCTCTTATGTGAACCCTAACAACACTACTGTAATCAACGTGTAAAACTATCGCAACGAAAGAATATCGCAGCCTAGAATTGAACCTTCGTCACCTTATCCGTTCCTCTCTTGCACCTGGGATTTGGGTTCAGATCGTTTTATCATTACTCTCGCACGAAAAAACCGAATACAAAAAAAATCTCAGACAAAATTGATTCTGGTTTCAAATATGGGCAATTTGGGAAAGAAGTGAGGGGTAGAAAGTTAATAGCAAAAATTTTAAAAAGTGGAGAGTGCAGTGTTTATAAAATATGACTAGGGACTGAATTTAAAGTTGAAAATAGAGATGGGTATTTAAACTCAATTGTCCGTTAATTCAAAGTACTATATTCCCTCAATTTCCAATTTCTAAATTTTAATTTTCACTTTCTCTCCTTTCAAAGACAAACGCACTCCTCATTCTTCAACATCACAATCCTCACTCAAACCGCGCCGCCCCTGCCCTTCTCCACCGTGCGCTGCCGCTACCTTTGTTGACTGTGCGCCGTCGCACCCACCATCCTTCGCTCGCTTCTTTTTCTTCAATTTCTCTCACACAAATAAGAGACCACCAAATATCGCCACTTACCCCGCCTGCGCGCCATCGCCTGCCCCCCTCAACCATCGGCGCCATCTGTCCTCCTCAACTGCGCACCACCGTCTGCCCTTTTTGACCGGGCGCTACCGCTTTCCAAAATTCTAGTAAATTTTTGTCTTGGGAGGATTTTTAATGTTGAATTGTTTGGATTAAGTTTTTGTTGATTATGTTGGATTAGGATTGTGTTGGCTTAAGTTTTTATTGATTATGTTGGATTATGTTTGTGTTGGATTAAATTTGTGTTGAATTGTGTTAAATTATGTTGGATTGAAGTTGTATTAGATCATTTTATATTTTGCTTTTATTTATGAATTATAATTTTTCTTTTTTTAATAAACAAAAAAGTTAGATAAACAAGTTCGAACGAACTTAATCGAGCTTAATCGAACCGAATACAAACAAACTCGAACGAGCTTAATCGAGTCTAGTCAAACCGAATACAAACATGAGCTCAAATATTAAAATTTGTTAACAAGCTGAGCTCGAACATTGCGAACGAGCTTGAAAGCTTAACGAGAAATACGAATCTTGTTCGTGAAGCTTAACGAATGAACACGAACACTTAAATTTTTGTTCGGCTCGGCTCGTTAACAGCTCTAAGGATGCTTCATTAAGTTAATCCTTCAAAGAAGCTGGAATTACAAGTGGTTGATTAGTTGTAGAAGTTTCGACCGTCTTCAATGATGAACAATCAAGGCGCAATAAAGATCCAATTTATCTTCTTTTTATTTTTATTTTTCATTGTATTTTCATTCATTGTCGTTTACTTTCCGCCAATTTTTTTCATCCAATTTTCTTTTAATTTTGTTCATACATTTGTACCTTTCAGCATTTCTATTCAAGTTTTAATAAAAGGTTGTTTTTAAAGTCTTTTATTTGTTTATTTGTTCCGATGAATTTTTCCACAGTTTATTTTTCCGTATGCACAAAATATTCTTCTTAAAAAATTTTTTAAAATATTTTTAAAAACTTTTATCTATTTTTTTTTTACCGATTTTATCAAACTATTACAAAATTAAAATATTTGAATTTTCAAATATAACATTTAGCTAGGATTATTTGCAAATCCTAGGTAAAGATTATACAAAATCGTTTGCACCGTTTGCTAAGGTGGTGACCGTTATAATGATTCTTGCACTTACATCTTTAAAAGGTAGGTTGTGTTATCAACTTGGCATTAATAATAAGTTTGGCTTTCTGAAGGTGATTATCTATATGATACCACCATTAGGCAGCAACATACCATTCAATCAGGTTTATAAGTTGAATAATTCTATCTACGGATTCAAACAAACCCCGACGGTGGTATAAACGGCTTACAGCTAAGATTTTAGAGTTTGGGTTTGTGGTCTCTCGGCCTCTCTCTCACTCTCTCCACATCCTCTCTCTCTATATATTGTTTTTTTACACTACAAGTTGGTTGGCGCTATGCTACCCCCACCCTGCAATGGCAATAATAATAATAATAATAAATATAATAATAATGATTCGTGAACGAGGAGGAGAGGGAGGATGCCATCATGACTGTCGCATTTCCATCCATCCCAATGCTTTAATTTAATAATTAAATTAATTTTGCTTGGCAGATCAGTGCCGTGGCCGGGAAGTGGTAACACACACATACATACACACGATTCCGGATCCGATTCGGATTCGGATTCGGGTTCGGATTCGGAGTCCGGCGAATCGTTCCGGGAGGTTGGTTTGATATAATGATTCACGGCCCCGAACCCGATGGTGTGGAGTGTAGCGCAGTCCCCCACCCTAGCTTGCTAAGTTAACCCAATTGCTGCAGACCAGACCAGACCCAACCCGTTAGTTAGTTTGACTCCCTCTCTCCCAGTAAAACGAATCTCACTCGCTCACTTCCCTTTCCCTCTTAATTCGCACACTGAAACATCGCCTTCTTCCCCTTACCCCGCCGGAATATTCTTTCACTTGCCCGGGTTATTATTTGTCTCTCCACACTTCGGAAGTTCTAAACTTTGATGAAAGCTCGCGTCTTTCACTGCAGCTGCCCCATTTTAGTGTGATTATTCTGTCTATGATTATTATCATGCAGTAGTAGGGTTTGCAACTTTGTGTTATCCATTTGGGCTTTTAGTTGGGAAACTCTACCTTTCATAAAATGTATGTTGTTCCTCCTCCTAATCGTTCAGATCCGTTATCTGGATCCACCAACGGGGCGGATGAGCTCCGGATTTACCAGACCTGGAAAGGCAGCAATGTGAGCTTTGATTCTCTTTTCATTTTCACAAAACTCTTAACTGTGTTAGTTTCCGTAGTTTCTTATTACCCAACTGTTGATTTTCTAAGCTCACATTTGTTCCTTCTTTGAAAACTAAAACTCGCTTTTGCCTGTTATCAGATTCTGTCAAGTGAAGTATTTGCTTACTGTGACTGTATGTGCTTCCTGATTTATAGGAGAAACTGTTGTATTGTTAGGGATCCATCTCAGTATATTTTCGACACTTTGCTGGGAAGAATATTCTTTCTTCCTTTCTTTGTTGATTGCATTCTTTTTGCTGCTAAAGTTCTTATTTATAGTACTTGTATGATTCTGGAAACAGTTAACTGGCCCCTTTGAATTGAGATGATGATAAACCGGCGGAGCATGCAACTTTTTGAGTGAATGTTATGTCTCCAATTGGACTGAATGTGAGGCATTCGTTAGTGAATGTGGGTGTAGATTGTCAAATTTTAACTTGTCTTTATGAATTGTACATACATTTTGGTTGGAAATTTGGGATCTTTTAAGCTAATCTTGTCGTCCAGTGTTAGGGCCTCCTGTTATTTGACTTGTAGTTATGTTTTCTTTTATTATTAATTTGGATCAGCCACAATGTTCAAATGAGAAATGTCTGAAGTATCTTTCTTGGAATTTTCAATCACACTGACTTTATTATGCTGTTATGAATATGATCCTATATATGATTGTCATCCTGGCTTGATTTTTTACTTTTATCTTTTTCATTTTTGCAGAAGTTTTTCCTAGAAGGAAGATTTATTTTTGGACCAGATGTAAGGTCACTGTTTCTCACGATATTACTGATCGTGGCACCTGTTGCAGTGTTTTGTGTCTTTGTTGCTAGAAAGCTAATGGATGACTTTACTGATCACTGGGGAATTTCAGTCATTGTGGTTGCTGTTGTTTTCACATGTTATGTATGCTCTCTCTCTCTCTCTCAACCAGCTCAGACACAAACACACACAATCACTCAAGCATGCACTATTTTGAAATTGATGCCCAGGTGCGTCTATATTGGTGTTTTTACTAGTTTAGACTGCGTAAGGCCCACTTCACAATGATTATAGCTCAGTGAAGTGTAGTGATCAATTTGGGGCTTGTAGAGATGAAGTACAAGTATGTTAGAAAACTGAGGTTTGGGTTTATTTGTTGTTTTATGTTATGAATCAACTAGGATCTCCTGTTACACAGGCATCACATGAATCAATTTGGACTGGAATTGGGTTTTATCTTGTCTGTGAATCTTGAATATATTTGTAAAGTATGAGAGGTATAGTTATAGTTTGTTTGTTATAGTTGTTAGAATAGATGATTAATATGATGATGCACTTTGCGCCTTGACACCTTCGTTTGAGGAGGGCTTTGCGTAGTCAACTTTTTTATTGGTAAATGTCAAAAGAAAAAGTGTGTGCAACTAACATAACTAGTCTACCTCCTGTTAGCTGCTTCACCGCTACTTGACAATGTTCCATGTTATGTAGCCAAAATCCCCTTGGTGTGCTTGTTGTACAAATTATAAACACAACTATCTGCCGAGAAACCAAAAAAGAATCCTTTTGTGAATTGCCATCGTTCAAAACAGATTTAGTTAGGTTCTGTTACAATGCCAGTGTGGTTGCAGCCAGAAAAGCTGCTGTTAAAAACCAGTGATCTTGGTGCATTCATAATCTCATGCTGCAGCAAGCATGGCCCCGCACTCTTCAACCTCAAAGTTAAATAAGCCTTGTCCAGAGTCGGTCTTCTTGTGTGTGATGTTTCATCTCTAGTCTTGTCACTTCCTATCATTTATTAGTCAACCACTTGGGCTTGATAGAGGTCACGAGAGTTAGTCAGGACTTTATCTAGGTTTACATTGCCTGTTTTGGATGGCTTAGGTTTGGGACAGGGTAGTTTACCCTGTTGTTGATCTTTGCATTTCAGTTCTGATTAGCAAGTGTTATATGTTCTATCAGTTTCTCAGTTATTGAGAATATAGTAGGTGTAGACAAAGATGTGGAAGCAGCTGTCCATGGATAGCCTCAAACAAACTCTATTGATACTGTAACCCAATATCTACTTTGTACACTTTTAGGATTCAACATAGTATTAATTATCTCCTCATACATAGAATTCTTCCTTCGTTGAGTCCCTGCAAATCCGTGCTTGAATCTAGAAAGCTTCCAAACTTCGTTCTCAAACTCACTGTTGTGATTACTCTTAATTCTTTCCACCTTACCACTTTCACCCCCAATCTTGTACAAAGTTTCTTACCTGCAGAAAAAATGTTTACACCACTCAAATACACCTTGTAAAAGCATCCATACTTACAGCCACATGAATGTATATTTTTCCTCGGCTGGTTGCAATTTCCATGATTCTAATATAATACATTTCTCACAACTGGTCTTCTCCTTAATTTTCAGTGGTGGATGCCGCCCCATTACACCCTTTAATTTTAGATAATTTTACCAAATTTTGATAGCTAACATACCTAAACATACTCCCACTTAGGGTCTTAAGCCGTTTAACGCCAGTTTTGGGGGTCAATGGCTCTACTTAGGCAGCTCCAATTCATCAATAGTGATCTACGATGCATTTTTTAATTACAAAGCAATTTTTGATGCTTTCCCCATCCTCATACTTCATGATGTTCCTATAAAAGTTCATATGAAATTTACGACACGAGTTTTCTAAAACAGATTAAATTAGCATGAAACCATCAACAAGATGTGCTTTCGATGATTTAGGCGTACTTCAGTGTTCGAAACGCTATCCTTTTTTTTTTTGTATTTATTACCTTGATTACCATCCCCATGAGTGTCATTTAATACAGAGAAGCTGGACACATCTTTCAAACAACCAATCCAACAAAACGAGAGAGTCAAGGAGGAGCTAGAGAATATCAAACACAAGTCCATGATTAATGTAACACCCCGGCTGGCTCAAACCGGAGTGTCACCCGCACGCCACACCGGAAGGTTCGTTCATCAACCAACTAGCCTTACGTTGTGGCGCTAAAGCTAAAATAATAAATACAAACAACTACATAGGGATTCAAAATTAAACGCACCGGATTATCAATTAAATAAGTAAAGTTCGAGTAAAAAACATAAGTAAAAAATTAGTTCAAAAGGCATTAGTTCCTAAACATTAATAGTGGATTTCAAAAGCATTCTAGAAGATAAAGTAGTTATAGTTCCCCCGATGGATCATATGATGTGAATGCATTATTTATAACAGAAGTATCATCACCTACAAAAGGTTGTAAAAAGAGAGTCAACACAACGGTTGAGTAAGCGCAATTAATCGAAGATAAAATTAATACGATATAATGCCACAAAATCATTTGAAAATGATAATTTGAATAATGCTACATATCATTTAAGGATAACTCACCCACACAATTCTTTTAGCGCCTCCCTTATATCTCATTTTTATTCTCAAATAATAGTGATGAACACATCACGAAGAAAACTCCACTAGGCTTTAATTAGGGCAGGTTCGACCCGATTTTTCAACCTTATTACTTCGTATGATACGTCACATAATTACACATAACAAATATAGGGGCACAACCCTCAAAAAAAGCTCCACAATGTGTATCTAAAGGTTCGAAGCCCAAAGTACACGTACGTCAATTTATTTATTAGTTTGCGAGGGGTGTCAAACGGCCTACAACCCTCTAGTCTCCAATATAATATACCAATAGGGGATTGTATGCAATTCACCCTTCCATCACGGATGACGGTCTAAAGACCTTTTTCATTGTGAATGATAGGCACCTCAGAATCACCCAAAAAGGGAACTCGCCATCTCGATCCCTCGATCTAGCCCATTCGGGATCTAATTTGAGGTTAGCTAGCTATTCTAAAATACCAGTATACCCTCACGTGTTTGCAAGGCACAGAGGTGGAAGGCTATGCCTTATCATCCAAACAATCGACGAGTTGATCGAACTCAACGGATAGTTTTAATTACCAATTTGACCCAATACTCAACATGCTATTAGGCAAATTTTAGAAAGAACTTTAACCTCAAAGCATTCAAATGGTAACATTTAACCAACTAAAAAGTAGAATATTAAAATTCAACAAGTTCGCTATAATCTCACTTTATTTCGCCAAATAAACAATTGAATAATATGTCCATTACAATAGGCATGATCTAACTCAAAAAATCATAAAATTTAAATATAATCATGAATCTTTTTCCAAAAACTATAACTAGGTTAGGGCAAAACTAGGGTTTTAAACGAATTCCACAAATTCTACTATTGTCAACTTAGAATACTAAAACAATCTTCACATAATCCATAGGGGTCATTATAATAAATGTTTTAGAAGAAATTAGCAAGATCTAACACTTTTAAGGCAAACCCATTTGAAAATAATTTTGAAAAATATCAATAGAATAGAAAGCTAAGATTAGAACATATCATCTATCTAAGATTAATCTCACTTACTTTAAGAAAAAATCTAAGAGGAGAAGAGTTTTGGAGGAAAAAGCCTCCAAGGAAGAAAGGGCGGGCTGGCTGGCTGCCGCGCCTCTATATTTTATTTTATTTTATTTTATACTTAATTAAATATAGAAGATTTGTGCCTTTATTATTTATTTTATTCTACTTGGGCCCAAAAACGTCCAAACTCAATTTTACTCTTAATTTTAACTCAATTCTTTAATTTCTTACACCAAAAGCTCAAAATAAAATTTGTCCGACTCCGGCAAGTTCCGGCGAACTTCCGGCGATTATTTTTACGGGGTATTACATTCTCCCCTTAGGACATTTCGTTCTCGAAATCGATTTGTATGCACGGAGCTACCTCAAACAACTCCGCCAATTTAAGTTTCAAAATATTAATAGGAAATTCTACGTCTCCGATCATGACCGACACTTCTACAAAAAGACAATGACGAAGCACTAGCTCTCCTAAAGGTAGCCGTAATCTAAAGGAATAACTACAGCCAAAGAATTCACCAAGAACGTACCGGTCACTCCATAGCTTGCCCTCTCGTCATAACATTGATGTGACCTCTCTGGCCACTCTTTCCTCCTCTCGCACACTAAGGTGCCACTAGTGGCATATGACCTTGCTGCTGCGGAACCAAAGCCCTCTCAATCGCATTACGGGGATGATAAGAGGAGTTTTCCCTCGTCCTTGTAATCAAAGGGGAGCTCCCACGTTCTCCATCTCAAAACCAATTGGTAATAAGAAAAGGTGCCCTTCACCTTTATAGACAAGGGGAGCTCCCAACATTTATCCATATGGGACAACACTTAACACTCTGAACTCTCTCTCAAGGTCATCCATTTTTAGGATTCTTCTACTTGCTTCTTTAAGAGTTCTTGATAACTATCTGGCAATATAGTTAATTTCATCAAATTGTCAGCTATTTAAAATAAATAGCATTAGCGATTTGCTGTTCAAGTTGATAATAGGTAAGTTTATGCATGTATGAACAAATAATCACTAATCTGATTGCAAATGGTCAAATCTTCTTTAATAGATAGGTAATTCTAGAGCTATTATTAGGCAGTTTGCTGTCACAAGGTATTTCAATGCACTTGGACTCTTCAATGTTGTAATCACACCCTTCATTTGTTGCAACTACGCCGAGAAAGCTATAATCTTGAAAAATCGTGTAAGCCACCAAAAACTCATTGAAACCAAACATTCTTGAGCATATCTATCTTCTGGACATTTGATGTAGAATATGATCAAAATATTTCTGAAAACAACTTTACATTTGAAAATCTAGCCGAACTCGAATAATTTTACATTTCTGGTTAGAGCATTGGTGTTACCAAAGTTTCCAACAAGGTTTTTTGGCAGACTGAGTAAACCAGTTTGTGTTGCTGCATGACTTGAACTTTGTGCAAACCGTGCTTAGCGCTGGGCTATGTCTCAGCCACCTGCCATCCAGTGCCCAACATGTCTCAGCCACTCGGCTATGCAGCTTCGTGCATGTCTAAGTTAGTCGACCATCCAGCTGCTGCAGCCGATGCTGGGGCATGTCTAAGCCACCCAACTAGGCGAAGTCTTGCTGTATGGTGAAACTGATCCAAAATGTGATATGCAAATGTGAAAGTGTATTTTTATTTACAAGCTATATTTGATATTTGCTTATTAACGAACTAGAATCTGGTTCTAATTTATGGATGTTGAGATATTTTAGATATTCGGTTTTAGATTTAGTAGATTTATATTTATATTTGTTCTTATCCATAGATTAGATTACTTAGATTTTAGTGTATAGAGTCTGTTTTTATATTGCCTATATATAGACCCTTATTTTGATAATCAATAAAACAATCTCATTATTTTTTCCCCAAATTCTAACATGGTATCAGAGCCTACTTTTCTCCTGCCGTAGATATAGCCTACCATCTCGCGTTTTTTTGAGTACATTCAACCTAGAATATATTCGGAAGTCTTCTAATTTTGAGATTTTGACTATAGTTTCTAGCCTTCTCCGTTTCTGATTTTGATTATGTTTATAGTCCTGATTTTGTCCAAAGTCGTGTCTGCGCATTTGTTTGCGATCCATCTGTTGCTTTTCTCCAGAGTCATATTTTTTTATTGAAATGAGAGTCTCGTTATTTCCGACTTTATGGAGAGTATTCCCAACGTTTTCGGCTCCATAAAAGAGTCATGTCGTTTTCGCTCCAGTAGAGAGTCCGGCTCTGGTAGAGATTTGTGTCATTTTCAACTCCAGTAGAGACACGTCATTTTCGACTCTAATTCAGTTGAGAGTATTGTTTCTGGCTTTGACACGGTAGAGCGGCGGCGAAAACGGCAGACAAGCAACCGTTATTTTTATTTGCATCTTTTGCGTCTGTATTCAACTTTTTTATCAAACTCAAATTGGTTTTTGTTATACCACTTGAGTTTGAGGGAGGGGGTGATGAGATATTTTAGATATTCAGTTTTAGATTTAGTAAATTTATATTTATATTTGGTCTTATCCATATATTAGATTACTTAGATTTGAGTCTATCGAATTTGTTTTATATTGCTTATATATAGGCTCTTTATTTTGATGATTAGTAAGATAATCTCATTATTTTTCCCTTAAATTCTAACGGATGTAATAAAGAAAGGTGTTGTAGTAGTTGGCATATGTATTTAACTTACTGAAACTTGACTAGAGCATTTTACCTTGAAGGATTATTGTCAATGATGTTTATAGCAGAATGTCATGGCTTTAACATGTAGAGTAGATGATGACCTGGATTTGGTTATTTTTATTAGATCATTGGTTTCACAGGTCATATGCAAGATCTTTTTCATGCAGGACTCTAGATTATATTCCTGGTACTCACCATTTTGCTTTCTTTCTTTAACTTGCAGGATTTAGTTCTTCTCTTATTAACATCTGGTAGAGACCCAGGTATAATTCCTCGAAATGCCCATCCACCAGAACCTGAAGGCTATGATGGTAGCATGGAAGGAGCTCAAACACCACAGTTGCGGTTGCCTCGCGTTAAGGAAGTTGATGTCAATGGTATTACAGTGAAGATTAAGTACTGTGACACCTGCATGCTTTATCGGCCTCCCCGTTGCTCTCACTGTTCGATATGCAATAACTGTGTTGAACGATTTGACCATCATTGCCCATGGGTCGGGCAGTGCATAGGACTGGTAAGATTTATCCATACAGTTTCTTTATAACCTCATGATCTTTGAAATCAAACTATTTTTATGGTTAAAGTATATTATAAACTTATTCATGCAGCATACAAGTTCTGGCTCATTCCGCATCTGAGCGCAGCAAGTTTTGAAATGCTAATGTGTTTTAAAATGGACCAAATAAAAATTTAACATCCACTGAAATGAAGAAATCATGCTGAATTATCATCACAAAATCTTGTAGCAATAACATTCAGAATAATGTGTAGAGTGTTACTATGCTTTTGTTGATCTGCACTGTATAAGAGGAAATTTAAGAGATTAGTATCAGGAGTTGTTCTCTGTGTTTCTTTTGCTTGACATCAATTGTATTGAGTTACTGTTGCATGTCAAATTATTGTGGTTTGGTTTAGTGGCTAAATTTATCTTATGGTATTATGTATTTCCATTTCCTTGCTGCCAAATAATTGTACTAGTTCCTCTAGGGTTAATTGATGTATGTTTTCATTGATCTAATTCACCTTCACTGCTTTTGGCAGTGTCAGCATATTGTTCAGGACTTGTGGTAAGTTGCCACATGTTGTCAACTCACTGTATTATAAAATTTTAATTATGGGATCTTTGTTGCAGAGAAATTACCGGTTCTTCTTCATGTTTGTCTTCTCCACAACTCTACTTTGCCTGTATGTTTTTGGTTTCTGCTGGGTATACATTAGAAGAATCATGGATGCTGAGGGGATATCAATATGGAGAGCAATGATCAAGACCCCTGCTTCCATTGTTTTAATTGTCTATACCTTTATAGCTGTTTGGTTTGTGGGTGGTCTTACAGCATTCCATCTATACCTAATCAGTACAAATCAGGCAAGAGGTTTTATTTCATATTTTGCAAGTTGTGCAATAGGTCTAACTTCTTTCCCTTGCTCTTTACAGACCACTTACGAGAATTTCAGATACAGATATGATCGCCGTGCCAATCCCTACAACAAAGGGGTATTGGAGAACTGCAAAGAGATATTCTGTGGTCCTATACCTCCATCAAAGAACAATTTTAGGGCTAAAGTGCCCCGGGAACCTGCTCTGCCTGCTCGGTCTACGGCAGGAGGCTTTGTAAGTCCAAACATGGGTAAGGCAGTGGATGACATAGAGATGGGAAGGAAGGCGGTGTGGGGCGATGTTGGTTCGGTGCTAGATCATCCTGAAAGCCAAATGAGCGACAATGATGGGTTAAACAGCAAGGATGCCGGATTGGGGGAAATGTCTCCAGAGATAAGGGTCACTGTAGACGAGGGAGATCGTGCAGGAATACATCCAAGGCGTTCAAGTTGGGGCAAGAAAAGCGGGAACTGGGAAATGTCGCCTGAAATCCTTGCATTGGCATCCAGGATGGGGGAAGCAGATCGAACTGGTGGGAGTAGCAGCACCATGAGAACAGCAGAAAGCAAGTAGTTCCTCGGCATACGAGTTTGTTCGTTGAAAGGTGTGGGTTGTGGTGATTAGGCGTCGCATGGGGGAGGGGGCAGGTCCAGATTAGCATTGGACTCCAACTACTTAATTATATATGCCCTTTGATTTCAGTATGTTGTTGTGTGATTGTGGTTTTGTCTGTTTGTTGTTTGTTTGTTTGCGGTTTGAATGAAAGAATGAATTAATGCATGTGGTGTGGTGTGGTGTGGTGTGGTGTGGTGTGGTTGTTGCTTCCTCGTCCCTTATTCCTCATAGCAACGAACATTCTGAGTATTGTATTTTGGTGGATCAGATGTAATAGTAGTTGTTGTTGTTGTTGTTCTGAGTATGGGCGTTTGTGAATGATTTATATATATATATATATATATTTCATGTATATACATGTGTAAGTATGTATGTGCGCGTTTGAGTTGTCGGGGTGGCGATGGCGTTGGAAATGGGGGCTCCCATTAAATAAACATTGTTGAGTAAAGGCATGCAGATTGCAGATATGGATGGATATTAAGCTAGCTGTTGGATCTGGATCTAGATCCGGAGGTAAAAGCCATATGATGAATGAATATTTATTGTTTGTTTATTTATCTCTCTTTATTGTGACCTGCAATTCATTGCAACTGCAAAATAGAGAGTGAATGAGACCAGAAGACAAGATAAATTACATATTTAAACTATTTCTGTTAATGCACGCAACTACGTCTTTGTATCGAATTGAATTGAATGACAGTATTTATTCCAAATTACTCTAAAATTTCTAGAAGATTGATTATACGTGAACAGAACATTATTAATTTATTTATTTATTATTCCCGGAGTAGTCGGGATTCTTCGTCTAATAATAATAATCCAGGCGGCATATTCTGCGTATATCTCAACATTCATTTCCATTTGATTCTGTCCTCACCAGTCATCTCCCTATCTCCTAAAACCATTCATTATCTACCTATCAAAAATTTAAGATGAATATGATTAATAATATAATTATTATAAATAAATTATAAATTAAGATAAAAAAAATTTAAAATATAGTAAAATGTGTATTTTTTTTTAAAAAAAAAAAAACCTGAAAAGTAGAATATATAGAAATAGTAACATGGATACTAAACTTGGGAGGGTGGATTTATTATTATTATTATTATACAGAGATTTTTTTTTATTTTTTACTTTTTTTTTAATAATGTGGAACTCGCTTCAAGTGTGATTTTGGAATTTGATTTATAATAGTACTCCCTCCGTCCTATAAATATAGTTTAAATTGGGTTAAGCACGAAATTTAAGGAATATTGATATTATATTGGTAGTCGATAAAAAAATATGGATAAAAAACTTTTTTGCTTGTGAGTGTATTTGTGTAAAAAGTAATGACAATTGTGTAATAAAAATGAAAAAGTATGGTAGTTTTATAGTGATATGGTTATTTATGAAAATAAGATTATTGTTTTGAGACGGATAAAAATAGTAAACAAGACTATTGTATTGGAACGGAGGGAGTATTTGTTTTTCTTTTTAGTCGAGAACATACTATTGTTTTTATTTTTAGTAAATTTTTATTTTAAATATACTTATCAAATATATATAAATTTAATTAAATTTATAACCTATTATCCATGGAATCTATTCAAAATTGTTTTATAATATTGATCTGCACTCCTATTGGTTTGAATTCAGTTTCTATTTCTTATTTTTCTAGTAATCAATTTAGTATAAATTTGATGTATCCTCCAATATAGTAAATACTCTCAACGTTATTTTATATACTTATAATATATTTGTTCCACTGACATGCTTCTATTTACTTTTAGTGTTAAATAAAAATAAAAACAACAATTACAATCACATTTTATTTGGCCAGAAAACTACCACATGGTTGTTAGACCCAGTAAAGATCCTATATCCATTTTTTTTACTTTCAGTTGTTGTCATTTCTCTCAACTACTAACTAAGTAAAGGAAACATAGCAAAAAAAAATCTTCAATCCATCCCGTCACTTAGGCAAAGCACAAAAAGATAAATGTATTTTCCGTCTTTTCTCAATTTTTATTTGTTTTCTTTACAATAATATTTCATATCCTAGTTTGTTTGTTTGAATGCGGTGTAACCCTTGGTCTCTATATTATATGTCTTCGTTCGTTGTCGAGAAGCATTTTCACTTGAATTTATATTTGTTCATAGTTGTGAATTTGTTTCTATTTTGTTGGTCAATATCTATTGTACAAGTTAAAGTGCCCGAGACTCATTTGGTATTGTTAGATACGTGCAATTGCATCCCTTAAACTTATTGTGCTATGTAATATACCTTTCAGGGTGATATGTGTATCTTGATTGTGTTATTAAATACTTCTTAGAGAACTGGGTAAACTTTAGATCCATTCCAGATGTCCCATATTGTTGACTAATATTTAATATTTTACGGAGTTAGAAAAAAAGTAAAAATCTTTGCTCAACCAATTTGTCATTTTGTACTTTCATAATGAGGTCGAAAAAAATGAAGAATGTGATGTCAGACCAACATGTTAAAACAATAAAGCTGACCCCTTTTGGCCATTTTTTTTACTGTTTAAAAATGGACTCCTTGATCGATAAGAAAGAGATGGATGGTAGTGCTGAAGAGGGCAACAATAAGGAGGTGGAGGACAATAACAAGTATTTTTTAATCCTTTGGTTTGATATATTTGCTAAGTGTTACGACCATGCAAACCCATCGGTCCATCCTTATGGGACTTATGTAGAGACTATGATGATATGAATACCTATCGTGGTAAAATTGTTGCCTAAATTTTAGAAATTTCCTCCATCTGTGTAATTGATGTTATTTTATTTGAAATTGTCTAAGTTGTTATGATTGAATTAATAAGTGATTCTATGAATTGTTAGAATTATGCATAAAGTGTTTATAAATTCGAGTTATTATGATCGAATGTCTACCACATACTTTCAATAATAGTTTATTGACTTGCATAGTATTTATGAAAACACCCCCAATTAGAATATATACACTAATACGTGTTGTCAATGTACTTATAACATAAAGCATGTGTTGGTTTATAGTTGTTCCACAACCCAATTTTTAATGATTCACATTCACTTAAATGACAATTTAGTATTCATTGCCGACCAACTTTTTTGTACCTGAAGGCAGGTCAGATGATACAGTGGAGATATAAAAGATAAGTATAAATAGCCTTATAATGTCTACCATTTCCATTGGATGTGTTGCATAACTTGTTTAATATATATGTACAATGGCTAATTTTTTCATTGAGGTATAACAAGGATAACATAAGACATGCTCACAACAAGTTCCTTTATGCTCTCTCTTTTAGAGGATTGATTGCTACTGTAAGAAATCAACTACATTCACGGATATTTGGTACTCTACAGGTAATACCTTAGATATAAATATATATATACCTCTATTGTCATTGTTTATACCCGATACACACATTCACGTACCTATTTATATTATACTTATGTTGTGGTTTGCTAGTTATGTACCTATAATATAATATCAAATGCTTTGTGTATACGTACTTATGCCCAAGGAACTCTTACTTAAGAAATCAATCATTTTGGGTATCATAGTAATTGAGAATAAATTCAACATGATAGTATTCTCATCCCTTTCTAGAGAATATTAAAATACAAATAGTATACATTTACAAGAACCCAATTGGGAAACATTATTATATATATATATAATAAATGTTCAATATTTACTTGTCAATGGTAAGCAAAATCATAAAGAAGTTAGTTAAAATACTTTTAATTGATAGGCTACACTCCCGCTACTACGAGATTATTAAAGAGTTGATGCAATTTAAATTTTTTCTTATAAAATAACACAAGACAAATATAGTACAAAGACATCTGTTATTTTACAGATAATAGATTTGAAATGTATATATATATTCATAAACCTATTGTTAATACCTGAGTACTTTATTAATGTAACTACTTACATTATCTTTATGTCATATTTCATTTTTCACATACTCATATTTATATTTTAAATCATCCGGATATGCATACTTATGCCAATGTAACTTTAATTCGAAAACCCGATCATTTTGGAAACTATATAATTACTCGTGATACTTTTACCATGGTGAATTTTATATGATAATGTTCTTATCCATTCCTAGAGAGTATCCAAAGGCGTAACATACACATTTACAAGAAGATAGTGGGGCAACACATTCACGCATATACATCAAATATTCATTCTCACTTGTGGATGATAAACTAAGTGGCAAATGTGTTCATTAAAATATTAATCGCTATTAGGCTACCTGAGTGTTGCTACAAATTTTGATTTCTTGATGCAACATGAACTCCTCCACACAAAGCAACACAAAGTGAACTATCCACATTTACAAGAATAATCTACTATTGGGACATTAAGTGTACAACCAAGAATTATCCTCACAAACTCAAGTACAAATTATTCAATACCATTTTATAAAGCGATAACTTGGTTGAATAATCAAGTACTTCATCACGCATCTAATATACCCCTTTTATTTTGATGTATTTTTTTTCCCAATATATGCATTTGAACTCCGCTTTCAGGTATCTACATACTCCAGTGAATGCTTGTGAGGTACAAAATGACCATAAGTATCGTTGATAAATTCTGAAATAGATTAAGAGTTTATAATTATTTGTGTATGGGTCTAACAGATGTAACACAATATGACAAGTAATTTCTCCATTTTGATAATTAATTATCAAGAATATATTGAAATTGTTAGGATGGTAATACGTTTCCACACCAACGTGCTTCTAGACATCAACTACATGTTCTCCTAAATAATTTGTGTGCCTCTGTTACTTTTCCAAAAACCCGTGTCATCAAATTATCATACATAAAATAGGACTATCACGTACCTATTGTTCGTGTCCATATACTACAGTACATCCAAATTATAATTGCAATTTTATGCAACTAGGATTTTGTTGTTTTACATATACCTACAATATTACATTATATCCGGCACACCAAAAGGAATTACACGCCAAAATGGTCATTCTAGACAAAATAAAAAATTACACCTTTAAAAGGTCTACCATACTCGTTCTTTATAAATTATTCTATTATATCTGAGACGGTCACAACGACGGTATTTCCATGACTGGGTTTATCTATTGGGACTCATAACGTCGTTTCTTTGGTTAGTCTGGTTGCATGGATGAAACAAATATCGAATCTTTGACTTACCTAGACTAAGTGGTGTGCAATATATTTATGTCCCAAGCGACCTCAGTGCAACAAATGAAAATGACTTTCTTCTATTCGATTTTACAATTAGCACAAATCAACACCGGCCAATC